GATACCACAAATCGTATCTGCATGATGCCTATGACAGGCTTGTTGGATTATCGCTCAGGCTTCTCCACATTCAATCGGAACGCGGAGCAACATAGCCCATCAGCCGCCGGTGAAATTTGCACGGAGCTTGAGCAATGAGAATGGTTTCGCGCTCTTCACACGCCGAAAACTTGTAAGGAGCCGAGTAACACGGTATGAAGCGCAATTTTATCCATTCGTCCACCACACGTTAGGATCATAAGACACTGCAGTAGTAGTCCAGGGGACAAACTCAATCACTGTTGGTCCCGTGAATCCGTGATGATATAGATACTCCATCATGATATCTGTGATGGCGTCCGATGCAGATAGGCTTATCTGCTTCATCTGAGTTAAATTAGGGTTAGCACCATGATAGAACAGCTTCACAATGACCGGCAAAAAATGAACGAGCGGAAGGCGCAAGAGAGGCTGGATGACCAGCTCTGTTATTAGATGCTGGAGTAAGTATATGCTGACATCGTCTCCCTGAACCATTTTGGCAACGATGCCAAACTCGGGGGTACCTGATGGCTGAAGAGGATGGTGCCGCATGGTGGCGGAGCCGGCAACGTCTGATGCTATGATGGTTACGACATCATATGTGCATCAGGATGTGGCGCACGCGATGGTCGCGGTTCGCTGCGACTTACTTATGTCCGTCGCTGATACATATGAGCCAGAATTTTCTGGGCTGAGATTGCTGAGACGTAGCCGGGTATGAGAAGGATCTACCACCAAACTTGCACCAAAGCGCGTTGATTTGACGCGTCTAGGTGAATTTTCAAAGTCCGGTATTTCCTATTTTGGAATGTAGTTGAGTGAGTGGTATTACCAACTCGAAGAGAAGGCAGCTCTTTGCCTTCTCTTCCATAAAAATGATACTTGTCTACATATATATGGTACATATTAGCTGGCCTCTGTATACGACACATCGAACTTTTGATTTATAAATGACCCTAGTAGGCACTCTCGACCCTCTATACTAAGAGCGCTGCTGAGGTTTAGGACATGTTTTAAGACTGCAAGTGTTGGCGCTGCGCGCCGTAAGGTTTAGGTACAAGTCCCGTTTAGGACAGGTTTGGCGACGCTTAGCGTGAATTTGGCTCCCTTACGACTTGCGACATTTTAGAATTGAGCATCTCTCAACGCCTACTCTCACCATCGCCATAAGCTCACCGTAAGCATCAAACTTCTTTTTGACAAGCGAGAAAAATGGGTCATTTGCAGATGCTAGTAGCTCTTGTCACGGAACACATCGGCGAGGACATGTCCCTCTGCTGTTGGAGCACATGCAACCATTAACACGTGCGAATTCAAGCAGCTGTGCGAGGAGCTCGGTGTGCTAATCTGGTGTACCATATCAGTTCAGCATGGAACCTATCATCCAGATAATGACCTGACCCCACTTCCTCGCCGATGTCCGGATGTTCTACATACCCAGGTTGACCTCCAAACCAGACGTTGGACATCCAGACCGTAAACTAAATAGTCATTTGGGTCAATTGCTGTCCAGATCGCAAACTGAGACAAGGTTCCATACTTAGGCATTTTCTGATCATCATCATCAGAAGTTCAAACTTCTCGGTCATAACGTGGACGTCATTTGCAGGGTAACGACGGTTCTATCAGGCTTTTAATACGAGTCGTTTTTTTGGACATGACTCAAGCTCATTCGCCCACTTGCAATCGCACGATATGATTTCGAGAGCTCCTGCGACTTCAAACTTGCACCTGGAACCAGGCGAGGATGAGGTAACTCTAGCAAAGCTAGGATACAAGCAGGAGTTTCGCAGGGAATTCACTCCGCTAGAGGTGGGCTTGATATCAGATTCTTTTGTGTACATGACATCATACAACTGCTGTACAGGTATCTGGACTTGCATTCAGCTATATAGGAGTGGTACCTTCTATAGTGTAAGCCGTCGCCGTGACGCAAGCCTGTTGACATCGCTCTTTTACTGATAGAAATCTATTTCAGCTCCGTGTTCTTTTATGCCCTACCAAATGGTGGGCCTTTCGCTATGGTTTGGGGGGTAAGCTTTTATCATATATCAAGATTGCTGTGTTGTAAAGATCTCATGTTTCCTCTGCGCAGTGGGCAATTGCTTGCCCTTTTATCATGTGCATCGGGTTGGCACTGGGAGAACTCGCGTCAGCAGCGCCTACTTCCGGTGGCGTACGTCCTTAACCCTGTGTCCGTTTTACACCTGACTCAGCAACGTCTAGCTATACTATTGGACTTACTCCCTTGCGTCTCCACGGTGCCGCAATTTTCTGTGTTGGATAGTTGGCTGTAAGTCTTGCATTTCTATATGAGACGCAGCCCGTCATGGCATCTGCAGATTCGAACACCATAGAATCTATAGCGGGAGTCGGTAAGACGATTTTCATTCTTTCAACAGTCTGGCTCTCATTGTGTGGGATTAGCTTCGGTAAATTGGGCGTGCGCGATTCAAATCACAGCCGCAATCAGTATCGCCTCTGGTCAACCATATGCGACTACTAATGCGAAGATCTAGTGAGCCCGTCCTCTTTCAAACACCCCAACGTTCATAATGATTGTCACAGCGGTATATACGCAGCTGTAATGTTGTCACAAGCCGTCCTCGTGAGCCTCGGTACCAAAGTCTTGGCAAGACTGCAGTCACTGTATACGTTGGTGAATTTGTGGTAGGTGTTGTGTATTTGTCCATGATCTTTGCTTCAAATCCTTCTACAGCCTGTGCTTCATAGTCATTATCGCGCTTCCGATCGCAACACCATCAGAATATCGAAACAGTGCAAGTTTTGCGCTAGGGAATTTCACAAATCGTACGTATCGTCTTCCGATTACAATCGCAACTTATGATCAGTTATAGTGGATGGCTGGCCATCTGGATTCGCATTTATATTGAGCTTAATGGCTCCTCTTTGGACAATAGGTTAGATAATCTTCTCTCGAATTTTCAGTACGTGACCGTGTTACACCCACCAAGGGGGTTATGATGCTAGCGTCCACATGAGCGAGGAGGCTTCGAACGCCGCTACCGCAATACCATGGGCGATCGTAAGTGACACTAGAAAATGAACTGTTGTTGTGTTTACCCCAGTTAGACCAGTTCCATTATTATTGCGGCCGTCCTGGGTTGGGGTATGTGGAACAACGCGTCATTCTGATCTTGATGACATCTTCTCGTCTAGTCATCAACGTTGTCCTTGCCTTTTGCATGGGCACTGATCTCGACGGCATCTTAAATAGCCCTTTAGGTCAGCCCTTGGCCCAGATCTTTTACAATTCGCTCGGGCAGAGAATGGCCTTAGTTTTTTGGTGTTTCATTATCTCAGCCCAGTACGTCTTAGCGGCATGTGGCGCATTGATAGGCTAATCACAAAGCAGATACATGGTGTCATCGAACTGTCTCCTGGTCGGCTCTCGCCAGACGTTTGCATTTGCTCGTGATGGAGCCCTCCCATTTTCACGATATTTGTACCGGATCAATGGCTACACACACACACCAGTCAATACAGTTTGGTTCGACGCCGCCTGTGCTCTGTTAATTGGACTTCTCGCGTTCGTGAGCACCCAAGCCGTCAATGCGGTATTCACAATTGGTGTCACCGCGTCGTATATCTCCTACATAACGCCTATCACGACCCGTTTCGTGTTTAATAACAACTTTAAACCCGGCCCATTCCACCTTGGGAAATTTGTGAGTTGGTCGATAGGGATGTACTAGTATTCCTGAGTTAACATGCCTGTGCAGAGTTTTCCGATCTCTGCGATCGCTGTGACAGGGATGGTGTTCATGAACATCGTTTTCTTCTTTCCCTCCACCCCCCAAACAACCGCACAGGAGATGAACTATACAGTTGTGGTCCTTGGAGGGTTCATGTTCCTTGCGATTTCGTGGTATTATTTCCCGGTGTACGGAGGCGTGCATTGGTTCAATGGACCCATAGCCAACATTACACCGGCTATCACATGTGAAAACAGAGATGAGGATTCGATGTCGGAGAAGGAAGAACGTGATGCAGAAGTTATTGATGTATAAGTGGTGTTCGCGTAGTGGTCGGTATACTGGAATGATATAGATTTCAACAGGTTTCAAAAGGACTGATTATCCAATATTTCGCAATCTTTTCCGTCTCAGCTCCCTCCTTGCTTACATAGTCATTGGTGTTCCTATACTAGGGCTGAGGCAACAGCCCACAGGACGCATATGTTATAGTGCCATATATGCTTACCATAGAATAGATAGCTACCTTGCAAGCATTTGGTTCCTCAGTGTACTCTTTGACATTTCCAGTATGACGACGCAGATGATCAAAGGAATACATGTCATTGTGAATATTGGTCTTTTCGATAGCTTAAAGTCGGCATCACATCGCGCTGCCAGCACGGTAAACAACTCCCAAGTCAGTGGTGCGGGAGGTGGTTGCGGGGTTCAAGAGGCGATCGATCGAACAAAGTCTGCTCCGATAACCCAAACCACGTCAGCGTAAGCCCTCCAATGGACTACATATGTATATTGCTCCAAGGACCAAATGGCATCACGGTCGTCTAAATCGATCAAGCGCCGATGGTTGACGCGCCTCCATCTGACCCTTCTCGATAGCCTTCGCCACGCGCTTTTCCTCCCGTTGCTTCTCCAGTTTGAACATGAGCATAGATCAATGAACAGGGCGAGTGACCGAGGCTTACCGCAGTGGGATCGATGACGTTCTTGCGCTGCTTCCGGAGATATCTGGGTTTCGGACACGATAGGTGATAGGCTGCATAATGCCTCGCATAAAATGGTACCTTTTGACACTCTTGCCCTTGCCGCGCATTTTCCGCTTCTCTTTCTCCGCTCGTGACTGCGGTTTGTCATTCTTGTCCCCTTCGCCTTCTGCAGCGTCCTCGTCGTCATCATCAACAAGCTTCGTTTCATCCGCTTTACCCTGGATGCGTAGTCTTTCGAGGCGAGGGAGACGACCGAAGGGAACGTCATGCGTGTCGTTGACAGCAGTCGTTAATTTTGTCGTCGGAGCGAGGGATCCGACAAAATCGGGGTCCAGTGCGATCATATCCGGTTGAATCTAAATCGATAGTTAGTCCCTATCAGCATCATTCAGGAGCGAACCATAAGTTGAGCATACCTTGTCCAACAGACCTTTGACTTCTCTCTCCCTTCTTGCCTTTTTGTTCTCGAATGGATCGGCTTCCGTGCTATCGAAGTTTGGCTCGCCAACACCAGGCACGAGAATGCTCGACAGACCGGCATTGTGTCCAATCGTAAGGATATCCTGGAAGGGGCAAAATCGTACCGAAGTAAGCGGTCGATGTGGTATTGGGTGAGTGAGGTAAAGTGGTGGCGGAGCTTTTGCCGCATGCGGGGTCTGTATTGACGGTTTTGTGTAAACCTGGCACGCGACGAATTAGCACCATCACAAGCAAGAGTGCGGTAAACCACGTTGACACTTCCACCTACTGCCACGCCTAACGCGCCCCTTGCACTCCATTCTAGCTCTGCGCCGCCACCTCTTGTCGTCCACTCCCGCACAGTGCCCTTCCAATTCCGACAGTCCCAGACCTTTACAACACCATCCTGGCCTAACGTTGCCATATAACGCCCACCGGAGCTCTGATCGACGCTCAGACCCACAACTGGATCGAGATGTGCTAATATTTGTACAGCAGGATGGGGCAGGTTTGGCGTCCAGAGGCTGACAACGCCATTAGAGTGACCGAGGTGTAACACTGCGTTGTGTTTATTTTGCGCTAGTGTATTACATGCGCCAAGCTTGGTTCGATGCTCTGCAACGATGTGACCTGTGGAAGTATCTTGATATTTTAGAAATCCAGTATTTCCCTACTATGGACTGAGCTGGCACAAGTTTATATTGAGTTGGAATAACTGACCACACTAGCGAGCAACCAGTGATATGGAAGAAATTCTAGTCGCGTAGGTTCGATGTGAGCTTTCAATCGGTGTAGTTCGACACCATCGCGGTCGTATATAAATACATATTTTTTTTGGGCGACTGCAAAGAATGATTGATCCTGCAAGAATCTGTAATGAAAGATTGAGAGTTTCTGCATGTAAGGGACAATTGGCGTACGTGATATCACGACATGTTTCCTGCAGCTGAAGCTCAGCATGCATGGTTCCTGTTTGCCAGTCAAAAGTCGCGACATGACCCATGCTGCCGACAATAGCAAGATGTCTGCCATTCCTTGAGTATCTCGAGCGATATGGACCACCATCCAACTTCAGCTCCCGTCGTCCCTTGGCAGCCTCCTGACCAGCACCTTCCACAATGTCATCTTGACCTATTCTCCACGTTCGTTCTAGCTCGTTCTCCACCTGCATTTTCCCTGCCTCGCTCGCCAATAACAGCTCAGCATCTTCGACGAGTGCTTTTGACCGCGCAACATGAACTGCCTGGCGGTTTAATTTGGTTCTTAGCTTGAGATCCTTGATGTGCTTATGCTTTGGGACATTGTCTGGTGGTGGAGAGGTGGGACGCAGGGATTTCGGCAGGGACGTATGTTGTACCTTAACAAACAAGGAATCCATGGAAGACACCATTCGTCAGGTTAGAAAGTGTGAAGTGCTCCTCGAGTGCTCTCTTACAAAATTGAAAGTATTGATCT